GTGCCATGTTTTAAATTAATTGATATTCATAGAATCCCAGAATGGTTTGGGTTGCAAGGGACCTTAAATCTCATCTAGTTCCAATCCAGCCCTACCATGGGCAGGGACACCTTCCACTAGGCCAGGTTGCTCAAAGCCCCATTATAACAGAACCTGCATTTCAGCACAACAGGAGAACAAAGGAGCAGGAGCCTTGTCCCAGCCTCTGTAATGAAAACACAACCTGGCTGAGAGAGGAGACATCCGGACAATTTATGCTCCAAAGTTATTCTTGATTTGCTCCTTTTTTTCCAATAGCAGTAGCCAAATGAAGAGGTGTTCATACAAATGATACCTGTGGAAAGTACCTATAGATGTCTCTAATCGTGGGCAAAATCAGGGGTTACACCCTGGCTTGTGCTTGAGCAGATCAGATCAAAGGAAAATGGAAAAACAAGAGTGGGAGGTAAGGAATGCTCTGCAAGGCATTAGCAGTCAGATTCGGCTGCTCAGTTTGCCTACAGCGTTTTGTAGACTTGGTCTGAGAGGTTCACCAGGTCAGACTGATACCTTGATGCCCTTTTGGCTCTGGAATATCCTTGAGCAGTCCCCAGGAGCCAGCTTCCAGATGCTCACTGAAAACAATGGGCACAGTTATATTAAAAACTCTCTAAGCTGATGGCTCTAGCCAAGTGACAGCAGATTGGCAACACCTGACAGATGATTAGAGCTAAACTGTCTTGCTAAATGCAAATATGCCTATGCAGAAATGGAAAATTACCATAAAATCTTTAGGACTGCAGGAAACCTCAAAGCTAATTTGCGTGTTCAACGAAAACTTCAATGTCCCTGTTAGCAATGTCACACTGCTCTGTTAGTTATCCTTCTAATTAGAGCAGCATGGACAGGGGCACGGGAGAGAAAGCAGCTCAGATAACAAAATTACACAGGTTAGAAAGCTGGTGTCTAGTTAATCCGGGAGAATTTTGATTGAGATTCTCCCTTTACTAGGCAAATCTTTCCTGTCACAGGAGATGACTTATCTACTCTCTAGTAGCTTTTTTTTTTGGGTACTTAACAGTCAGAGCCAGAGTGGGTATGATCATTTCTGCTCCATAACTACAAGTGCAGCTGCACTGTTCTCACTTTCAGATACTAAAGTTCAAGTGTAAAACACTCTGTTCTCCATGTAGACGTTAACAAAGGGTACATAGACATTAGCAGAACTTAAATCCTAAAATTGGTGGAAATAGGTTACTGCGTGTTAGCTGCTTTCTTCACAAGTCTCTTTAATGCAGCAAACCACTTCAGTTTCAAGGTAAAATCTGTGAGTCATTTCAAAATAATTTAAAGCTGGGCCAAATCTAACCTTTCCTTCCTGATTAAAAATATACTTTTGTCTCAGAGAAGCCTGCTTTTCTCATTTTTTCAGGAGGGGGATGAAGAAAATATTTGAAGAAAAAGAGACTCTTTGGAGAATTCAGGTAGAGTTCTTTGTATGCTGCATGTCAGCAATTAGACCCAAGTGTCAGTGTAGGAATTACTAACTGCTGGTAAAAGCTGTCCCTCACTCAGCACGGTTCAGTGCACTACTCAGTCCTCAGCACTTCAGCAAGGGTTGAGATATCCACAGAATGCATATCTTAAGTAAATGCTTCAGCAAATTTGCTCTTCAAAACCATGGATATTCAGGACTACTTCCTAAGCTTGTTGAAATTACTGCTTAGTTGGCTGGAACTGCTCTAGTTTGTACAAGTTGAGATCAAGCCCCAAATCTCCAGGCTGATGTGATGGAGTCCCTCAAGCTCACCATCCCTGGCAAGGAATGGCTTTATTAATGACCGCACAGAAAAGGCATTTTAAAAAGATCCTTACTGCTCTTTAAAGCTGAGATTCTCTTAAGGTAAAGCTGTTGAAACAACTTTCTGAATCATTACTTTGGGCAACTATCAATTGCCAGTACTACTCTTCCCATTTTACCTCCAGGAAAAGCATTGGCCATCTAAGCACAGAGCAATCCCAGTTGCTTCCCTGCCAGGGGCAGTGCCAGCCCTGGGGCAATCCCAGTAAATTCAATATTGGTAGGATTATCTAAAACAGTAATTTTGTGTCCCTCTGTGTCCTCTTTGTGCTGCCCTAGAGTGTGGTATCTCTGAACAGAAAGAAACATTGCCTCCCAAAAGTATTCCCTCTGCTAGCAGGCTCAGAGCTGACCATTAATAGTAGCAAAGGTTCTACATTTGCATTTTCAATTCCTGACTTAGCTCAGTAATCCCTTATGCTTATTATGTCTGCAGTGTGAGAGGAAAAAAAATAAAATTAAAAACAAAATAGCTGCTTTATAATAATCTGAGCTGCTCACATGACAAGCTGCAGTGGTGGAGAGTGTTGTTGAAGCTTCATATTCAAACTAGGAAGTATTAAATATTATACAAGCTGTTTGCTTGTTGTTCATGTCAAAGCAGGAGGGTCTGGGCTAACCCATGGAGAGAAGGGAGAATAAATAGATCATCAGCTGCTGCAGAAAATGTCCTGCCAGTGATCATGGATTTATGAATTCATACGGAGGCACATCTCCACACAGAGCTGAATTGTCTAGTCATTTTAAAGATAAATATTGCAGATGGGTGAATAATTCACTTGTACAAATGTTCACTGAAAACAAATTAACTGGCTTGTGTGTACAGGTAATGTGAAATCGTAATAGTTATTTCACTGAATGTTTGAGAAGGCAGTTTCTAGAATTCATCCAGCCTGTCTCAGCAAGTACCTAAGCTACCAAAATCTTCAAAAACAGCTTTAGAGTCTTGTCCAATGTTAACTTCCAGGTTCCAGAGGGGATGTTAATTAGATTAGCACAGTGTGCATACAGAATACTGCAGCTAGGACAGCTGGCAATGATCTTTACAGAAGTAAACACACTGCTGTATTTCACACAGAAATGTCAGCACCAACACCTATTTAAAGTCAGATTGGAATATAGGGGATTTTAAAATACAGGCTTGAGGGGTGTTTTCAGCTTGCCCAGGATTTGCTCACACTGTGCCCCACCACCAGGAGGAAGATGCTGTGCTGAATCCATAGGCATTTATCACCCACCAGATTAAGTCTATAAAAAGGGGATTATAGGCAGTCCATTTGCAGCACAACACAGGCATAAAACTATAATAAGTTACTGAGATAATGAAGCAGCAGGACATAAAAACTGCACACAAAGGCAGCCTGTGCTCTCAGAACCAACAATTCACTTACAAACACACCTTCCCTGCAAGCCCCTGCATAACCACCCATGCTGTTTCCTCTATCTCATTTAGGAGTATTCCCAGAGGCTGGAAGTGAAAAGTACAATTATCTGCTAGGCAGGCTGGGTGTTTTCACTCTAAAATCCTTTTGCCTTCCTCACAGCAGTCGCAGTCTCAGTCCCTGTTTAGGATAGAGGGACCAAGCACAGCTTCCCAAACACAACCTCAGCAGAGTTTTGAGCCTGTTGATTTTACTTATGGCCTTAGAGGACACAGACCTACATAAATCTACAAATAATAATTTGTTCATCTTAATTCAGCTCAAAGAGGCACACCAAGGAAGGAGAGCCTTTCCCAAAATGTTTCTTGATCAAAAAGATCAATTTTAGCAAAAGAAAATGGGTCATATCACTGAAAAATCCTGCCTCCAAAAGGAAGCCTCATCCATCTGCTTCCAAACAATAACACCAGTCATTAGCTGGGCTATACTGGAAATGTTCCATCTTATTTTCCAGCTTCCCTTTCTATTTCTTTCCTCTTGCTCTTTGAATTTGACTTTGCCATGATCTGAGGAGGAAAGCCCTTAATCAAATGTAGCCTTTGCTAAAGGAATATTTCTGAGGCAGACCTGTGTAAATACACAATATCTCAATTACCCTCCAATAGCTGTAGCATTCTTGGTTTGAAATGTTGCCCTCTGATGGCCTCCACCATGCTATCCATCACAGTGACCATCTGAAGGCCCACAGTACACTAATAACAGGAAAGGCATTTCGGGAGCACAGCCAAGCTGCCTGTGATATACACCAATTGCTGAATGGAAATATTTTATTTTCACACCAGCCAATATATGAGGCACAGCTACAGGGATTTAAATATGATACTCAGGCTCATTAGTAAAGCAAGCACAGATAACAAGGATTTACTGAATGTTACTGTCTGACTTGGCCAGCTTTCCCAAAGGGATCATTAAGATGCTAAGGAAGTTTTTTGTCTGTATTTTTTGGGGAATTTAGTCTGCTTTCAGGAGTTCCTGCATGTTCAGCAGAAAAACTTTCAGATATTTAAGCTTTGCTTGTCCCAAACTCAGAAAAGTAGCACTTTTGTGTGAAGGATTTTTAAAAAGTTTGCCTGTGAGGACTTTGCACCTCCTACAGCCAGTCTGGTGCTCCCTGGCCCTGTCCATGGGTGGGAGCAGCCCCCAGACACAGAATGGGGACCACAGCTTCAGGCAAAGAAAACATTGCTTCTGCTGAGCACTGGGGTCACCCAAAAAGCAGCTGTTGCCAGAAGACACATGGTCAGCAAACAATTCTGCACACCTTCCTTACAGAAATCAAACCCCCCTGTTTTGCTGACCATCCCCACATCACTCACATCCGTGGCTGCTGTGCTGCACTGCTTCACACCTTGGGGCTTTTTTACATGCAAATACACCTTGAAGGTGGCATCACCTGGATTTTGACAACTAACCAACAAGATACAAGATTCACTTGGGGTAAAACTTTGATTTTTATTCCCAAGCACATAAGCACAGATTTTCTCTATTTCTGTAAGTCCAAAATTACTGAGATTTGCAAGGTTCTTTTGAACTACATTTTTATCCTGACCCTTCCTACTCTATGTTAGTGCAATGTTCAAATTACAAGGCACATAAAAGTAATTTCTGGTACTTCATTAATGAGTCTGCAGCATACAGAAGGTCCAAATTTTATTCTCCTCAAGTTCTGAACAGGTGATAAGTGGTTTTATGTGCTTGAACTGCAATGTGCTCCTCATTGCCTTTAATCTGCCTTTGCAGTCCTGTTCAGGAAAGGTTGATCTTAGAGAAGTGTTTACTTCAGCTTAACTCATTAATGTTTATGAAGTGCTGTCAAAATACAAAGTGTTGTATGTTTAGTGAGGGTGACTTTAACATTATTATGGCTTCAACTAATACATAAATAATCATGGGACAAAGGGGTGTCGAATAACTGTCACTGTGGTTCTCTATTGCCTCTACTTAGAGCTCATCTTTATCCTTTGGTTACACTACAGAACTTTGTTTGCCTGTTTACAAGTGAAGCATGATGCACCCTGGTTCTATATATCTTCTTCAGTCTTCCTACAATTAACAGGTTTTCAGGGATTTTAAGGTCAATACCAAGTCCTTTTGAACACAGGAGTTTAATTCATGGCTTAGCCAGCAAGGTTTGCATGGAGAGCTATGAGCTTTTATTAAACCAGTGAATACACCTAAAGAACAAAAATGCTTTTGGGCACACAAGCTCTTCTTCAGGTCAGAAACTCTGCATTGTGCAGAGGCCCAGAGCACAGCTTCAGCTGCATCACTATTCCATTTGTACTGGGTAAACCTTGAATAGAAACCATTTTATTTCTGAAAAGCAGCCACTTTCTCCTAGAATGATATTAAAAAGAGAGCAGATTTCTTTATCCCTCTGCTAGGTCAGCAAGGGCACATCTCCTTGGTACCATGGAAGGTGGTACAGAGGCATCAGAAATAGCAGTGACCCAAAGTGGCAAGGGCAGCTCAACACCACACAAACACCAGCCTGGTCCTGCATGACACACCTTTGTCAGTGCACTGGTAAAGCCAGCCTAGCTTTTTATTTGGTTCTTCTGCTCACAATTATACAATGATCTTGTCCTTTTAGGACAGACATGTTCTAAATTTGACAGTGAGTATGGATGGGGCAGTGTCAGCAAGCTTTGCTTTGGACCAGTGGCACAGCCTGGTGTGGGATGGAGCACATGTCCATGCAGACTCTGCTGTGGTCCTACCTACAGGATAAAAAAGTGTCACTCTCTCATAGCATACATCTTCATTTTGGGGTGTCTTCCCTCATGACAAACCCTTGAAGATGCGCCAATCATTTGTTCATTGGTTACAGGGATCATCAGTAATTTGCACTCCTTTTAAGTTCCATTTCAAACTAAATGGATCTTCTATTGGAGTCACTTGGGGAAAAATCAGTTTTCTGCCTAAGCAAGACTTCACATCAATCAGGTTAATAGGAGTGTTAGAACATTTCCTAATTATAACTACAAACATTTGCAGGCTTCCTAGTGATGAGCACTCATCCCATCCCATTGTGTTAAATCACCTCGGGGCTGCCTGATGAGGAAGCACAAAGGCAGCAGGATGGCAGCAGCCCTCAGCCAGCCCTGCACTAGGTGCATCATTAGCAGTGACTAACACGGGGTTCTGGTCCTCAGGCAGGCAAAGCACAGACCTAATGTGGGTGGGCAGTGAGGTGGTGCCCCTGGTCAGATTCACGTGGATGTCACTCCCATACAAAGTTCTTTCCTTGTTTCATTTAATATCCTGACACCAGTTCCAGGGCAGCCCCTTGTCAGCTTTTCCAGCCTCGGGCTATGGCAGTGAGCTCACAGTGAGAGCAAGGGAGAGAGGTCAGCCTGGAAAAGAAGAACACCTGCTAGCTTCAAGGCCAGCAATGAAATAGCACAGAGTCTCAAGTCTATAAACTAAAAAAAAAGAAATAAAACTTATATCAAAGGCACTTGAAAGTGATATGATTGATCTGAGTTATTAAGTACCAACCAAACGCTCAACTGAGTGAAAAAACCCATAACATGCTCATAAAACTGCAGTCACAGTAAAAGCACAGGCAAACATACCCCAGCACTCTCCCAGTGTCCGCAAAGGAAGGTCTTCAGTGGGAAGAAATACTATCATTTAATTCTCCAGATTTATTTCATAATTTGCTTAACCTAAGAGAGAAATGGCACTGCCACAGTTACAGATATCACTGCCCTGCCCAGCTGCATCTATCTGAAAAATTCCATTGACAATTTTTTCCTGTGGTTGGCAAAGATTTTTGAACCCAAAATGCATAAGCACCACCTATGCCTTTAAGGTATATATGGTATATATATTCTCATGTCTTTCTATAGGATTTGCCCACTTCTCTCTCATTAATACAAGCAGAGATAAGTGATTAAAATTAATGTACCAGTTTCAAACTGCCCCATATCCATTAATCTCATAATAGTCGAAAGCATCTTGAAAAATACCTATACTGCAAATCTTGAGTTGGAATTTTTAAAGCGCTATTAATAGTACATACTTATCAAAAAGTACCTAGCTAGCACAGGCACTCGCACCTTCTTAAATTTTAATAGCTTCAATAACTTAGTTTCAATTTAGCTTTCAGGGCATTGGAAGAACCTCTCTTGTTGGAGCCCTTGCCTGAGGCTTTGCACTGGGGAGGAGTTGGCCGAGCATCGACATCAAAGATGTGCAACCAGTTTAGTAATGTGCTCCATGTTTGAAAAAAGTCCCCAAAGAAGTTCACTTGGATTTTTTCCTCAAAGAGAAAAATTGCAATTTCTTTGCAAAGAGCATGCCTTGCTGTAGACACTGCATTGTGTAAGATTTTTCTGGTGTTAATCATCAAATTTTAGTTTAGTTTGGAAGGGTCCTTAAAGCTTATCTCCTTCCACCCCCTGCCATGGGCAGGTTCCACTAGAAAAAGTTACTCCCAGTCATATCGAACCTGGCCTTGAACACTTCCAGGGATAGGGCAGACACAGCTCCTCTGGGCAGCCTGTGCCAGGGCCTCCCCACCCTCACAGGCAAGGATTTTTTCACGATCTAATCTAACCATGCCCTCTGGCAGTGGGAAGACCCCTTGTCCTGCCACTCCAGGCTCTTGCCTAAAGCCTCTCTCCTGCTCTCCCACAGCCCCTTCAGGCACTGGAAAGGGCTCTGAGATCTTCCCAGAGCTTTCCCTTCCCCAGGCTGAGCAACCCCAACGTGCTTGTGCACGTGCCTCAGGACCCTGGATTCAGCCAGGGTGAAGGACACCCCTTACCTGTGTTGCTCTTGCACTGAGATGCAGCAGGGCCAGCAAACTGCTCTGCTGGCTACCAGAATCAGTGGGCAGCTCTTTAGGCACAGGAGCTGCTTGGGCTCAGCTGATGAAGGTCCTGGGTGATGCATCCACCTGAGAGGGGAACGGGGCAGAGGCCCCATGGTGATGGCACTACTGGGCTTCTGTGCTCTGAACACAGCTGGCAGGAAGGTGGAATTTAAAAAACAGCTTAGCATTGACCTAACCATGCTTCCACAGGAGTCAATTCATTTTCATTACAGGGACCAGCAAACACTCTGAAACAGCTGATTCCAGATGTTTGGAGATGCCAGAACAGACTTAAGTGCAAGTATTTATGGAAATTTCTTTGCCAAACCTGACTCCTTGTCCAATAAATATTACATTTGGGGTCTAATCATTTCCTGCCTGCCTGTCCTCCTGCAGCAACTGGAAGCTCAGCCCAGGTTCTTGCAATTGCAAATCCCACAGTGGAGGAAGGGTGAAATCTCTCACCTTTTTTTGTTGAGGTTTGAGGGTTTAGATTTTTGCGGGGAGTTTTGGTGGGGTTTTTTAACTGAGCTGCAACTATGCAAGACAAAATTTGCAAAATCTGTTCACAGGGTCTGTGAATGTATTCTTGGAAGAAATAATACATCAAAAAACATGGGACAGGCTCTTGAACTTCTTCCAAGTAGGATGGGAAAAGTCATCACCCAAAGCAAGATAACTGAAAGGCTCCATCCACCTCAGTTATTTCCTTCAACTCCTCCCTAAATCAAACCATTTGTTTCCCACATTTACTCATTGAGATACTTAAATTGAAAGTAGCACTTTTAAGTTCCAACATACTCTCTATTGCTTACTCCTCAATTAAAAATCAGCCTGACTTGCCTCAGAAATTGTTTGGTTGTGTCAGGAAAATGATGATGTCAGGAGCAGATGGGAAATAAACAGGAAGAGCAGACAAATTCTTCAAGAAACAGGGATTCTGTTTTCATGCAAATTCTGTTTAATAAGAAAAGTTGAGATCTGAACAGAAAACAGTGTATGTGAAGAGCTGCTCCAAATGTAATTGCTTCTAAACATAATACTTCTCAATCTTTCCCAACAACTAGAAACATTTCTTTAAGTATTCTTTCCCTTTCTCTCTTGCAGTATTTCCCATTGACTTTAATAAAGTGCTGTGTAATCACCTGAGTTTTGAAAGCATTTGGGCAAAAACCAAAAGTTTGTGGGAGAAGAAAAAAGTTTTTTATTGCTGGCAGGTGTTTCTAAGAGGTTTTACAAAGTTTTATTTGGTAGTTTTTCAAGCTGACTCACATTCATATATAATACAGATATCTGATGCTGGTTTTAGTAGTTTTATACCTATGAATGAATGTGCACATGCAAGGGGGATTGTATAAACACAAAATCACATTTTGCTTCTCAGATAAGAAAAAAGTTCTGAATATTTGTAAGGAAATTGCATTGGTATTATCTTTAAACCACCGAGTCCTCCCCATTTTTCTGTTTTCTCAGACATACCAAATAATAACCTGAGACATTAATTGGGCAAGCACTGAAAATCATCATATACCTTTTGGTCTTTGGAAACTAAGAATTAAATTACTGTAATTGGCAGCTTATTAACAGGAAAATTATGCTAAACAACTTCATGTTACTGTCAGGAATTACATTCAGTAAGCTGTGAAGATGAGGCCCTTGGTGCAACATTTGCGTTTTCTCATTTAGAAAGAACAATGATAATAGATGAGTGAAGCATATACAAATTATACACCAAAGAACATTTGCATGGCTGTAAAAAGGCCATCTTGATACTGGAGTGATTAAGCCTGTTATTCATTAAGATACAGGAGTAAGGGGAAAGTAGGGAACACATTAACTTATTTAGAGGCATAAATAAAGTGAACTACATTCTAAAACATATGAATTTCAAGCAGACCTAGATTGTAATAGCATCTGATTATATTGCATTTTTTTATGCAGTGTTAGTAAGAGGGTTTTCTCCTTGTATTAGACGGGGTCTGAAGATGTAATGGTGACAAGCTGTGTTGTTACCCATGTCTTTATTTTGGCTGCCACCTCCCCAAACCCTTTGCCTGTTTATTCACTGTTTCTCCTGGAAAGCAGTGAGCCCTGTGCAACATGTCATGGACATGAGCCAAGCAACCTATCCACAGAAAACCACATCACTTAGTCCAGAAACTGTGTTTTTTTTGGGAGCTTTTTTCTGTGAGCAATTTCCACTACCTGTCCTGAAGTCTTAGCAGTTGACATTCTTCAAAGAAGGATGATTTTATATATCACCAGTTCCTATAAGCAAGGGAGGATAATAGCAAGGCAGAGGAAAATTGGGTCATTCTAATGCCCTGATGAAAACCAACAGGGACAGCACACTCAGTGACATGGGCTGCCTCTGTGAAACCAGGACATGCTGTCCTGCTCTCCATTTGTACATAGCTGTCTTCTTGTCCAGGAAACTCTGAAGCACAGAGAGTTCAAATAAGTTACTCAGTAACTCCAAAATTTGACTGGCCTGAGGAGAAATTTGTTGGCTTAAATGAGATGTCCTTAGGATTTGAGCAGTCCCTTGCACAATTGGCAGTTTCAGAAGTTCTCTTTCTATACCACAGTCTGTAGGCAAGACCCTTACACAATTGTCCTTTTAAACCCTTGTTAGTTATTTACAAAGATGAGCTGCGAGAAATTTATGTAAGAATGTGGGCTTGTAAGACTGCAGCAGGGAAAGCCACAGATCAGGAGGAAGAGTTGCAATAAAAAGACTGTTTCCATGGCTGTCACAGGGTTATAGTCCCAGATGTTTGTCTAACCTAGTTTTGAAGCCTTTTAAAATGTACTGCATGGGGAGGGTGATGTCTTGTTTTAGCACTATTCCCACCTTTTCTAATCTTCAGCATTAGAAAAGCTGTTCCCTAATGTCCAATCTTGCTCTCCTTCAGTATGAACCTGTTTCCTCTTGACAGAAGGGTAAAAGAATTATACCAATCATTTCTGTAGCAACCTTTTACATCCTTGGAGACACTTAAAATTTCTATCTTGACTGTCTGCCCCTTGTTTTAAGCAATGCCAGTTGAGACCTGCTCATGGGCTCAGTGGAACTGGCCACAGGTGTCCATGGGAGCAAGAATAATTATTAAATGCTGTTTCTCAGAAAAATTGAGCTGTGGCTCAACATAAAATATTTGGTGCAATTGTACAACAGGAGTAGCATCACCACAGTGTAAGTATCTGCTGAAAACTGGAGGAAGGACTCCTAGAAAGTGTTTCAATAATCTGTGGTGGTTTTGGTGCTGGTTTGTTGGCATGCAGTGGCCACTGTGCTCTGGGGATGGCCAGCAGGGTGGCTGCAGAGTGCCCCCAGTGCACAGATACAATTCCCAGAGAATTTATTACCATTATTTGCAATGAACAAAGCAGCCGACAGATTGTGGAACATCCTCTGGCACACCACTGTTTCCCAAAAGGTGACTGGTGAATTGGCTTTTGTAGCTGTGAGTGGCCAAGGCTGCTCAGCCCCTCTGCTGCTCAGCTCAGGCTGGGTGGCTCCTCTGACTCCAGCACAGCTCTTGCACCATGGATCTCCCTCCACTACACAAACCCATGTGCATTTCCTTTGAATGCAGCAGCTCACACACAATGATACAGAGCTCACTTTCCCTGCATAATTAGTTTGGAATCTGATACCAACATCTTAATTAGGCCTGACCCCTGGAGTATTGGACCTAACATCATTTGCCAGCTCCAAAATATGGTTACATCCACACTGCAAATAAGCATCCTCCCAGCAGTTGTTGTTTCTTTATGAGTAATTTCAGTGTCATTCTCCTCTTACAACACAGCCAAGTGCAGGAATCCTTGGGATGCTGCTGCAGCCCCACACCCCTGACTGCACACTACCTGTGCCTGCACTCCCATTGCACTCCTGCATCAGTGCCAAAGCTGGGGTTACTCTCACTTAAGATAACCTATTTAGTTAAACTAGGCTGGCTGTAGCAGCATGCAACTCACCCTGGACTTGCTACCTAATTATATTCCCAGCAGATTTCCAGAGAAAGAATTCTCAGTAAAGATTTCCCTGAGCTCACTGCTAGCCAAGCTGAGCAACCTCTCAGCCCACTGGGATCTGCCTGCAAGGGCTTCAGACACACCTTTATCTCTAGGAAAGACAGCAAAAGAAGCAGCTGGGGAGCAGTCTAGATCATAGGCTGAGTGTGGACCTCATAAAGCATCCCCACATTTATAGACATGAAACACTTCACCAGGGAGCAGTGGCTCGGGTTTGTGAGCAGGGCTGTATCACTGAGCACAGGCAGAGCCTGCTCCCTGAAGCATAGCAGGGAAAGCAGGTCTCAGTTTTCCTCCAAGGAAAGCAGCCCATACATTATGCAAAGAATTTACTGTTGGTTTTGAAATACTGCATGATAGGAAGAAAGAAACACGTGTCAGATGTTAGCCATGACACTTAAAGTGCATGGAAGAAATGCAGATAGTGCAGCAAGAGGGACGATATAAAAGTGGAAATTAGCATCTATATTTTTAAGCAAAGCTTTTAAATGCACTTTGTTTCAATTTAAAGACCTGAACTCAACCTCTAGGTGTTTAATGTAGCGCCCTTATTTTTGAAGCTAAGACACATAAAAAACAGAAGCAAGCTCAGCATCCAGAAAACTCCCAATATTTCTTTGACAAAATTAGCATTCACACAGGAAGCAGACACAAGCCACACTTGCAGTTCAGGTCCTGTTCTCTCATGCTCTGGGGAGGCAGAAGGAGAAACTCACCTCCACCTTGTTGCTGGAGTTAATTTGTTTCCTCATTTCCATCACCAGAGTCAGCAATCAGCTCCCAGTCCTTGTGTTGTTTGTTCACTCACCACCCGAGGGAGGAGGACTCCCTCGTTCTGCTATTTCCTCCCACCCTGGAGCATCTCCCCTGCCCTGAATGCCTCCCTATTATTGTGCTAGCAATCACAAATCTCACTAACCTTCCCTGGAGCAGCAGTGGTAATTTAGTGGTGCCTGAGTTATGGTCAGGCTCTC